ATAACATTCACATCAATTAATAGGTTCATTAATTTTCAAAACCATTAAACATTACATCAAGACAATGATTATGCAGTAGACATTACATCTTATACACAGTAATAAGTTAACGACATTAATATATTACATTAAATATTAAAAGGAGTGCTATTGATAATTCAATTTCAAATATGTTAACTTTGACACAAATCAATTACTAATTAAAATTAAATAGGTAAAATAAAATAGTTTCTCTAAAACTCAAACACAAATTACCTTTTATCATGAGTTTTTTTAATAAAACAAAATCTAATTAGACAAGGATATATTTACTTATTTTATTTTCAATAAAACACATTAGATAAGGATATATTTAAAGAGTTTCTATAAACTCTAACACAAATTACTATTTATCTATTTATTATAAATTTTTTAATAAAAGAAAATCTAATTAGCAAAATAATATTAATATAAAAAATATTTATTAATTGATATAGAAAATAAAATAATTTCTCCAAAACTCTGCCACAAATTATCTTTTAATATGAGTTTTTTAATAAAAGGAAATTTAATTAGACAAGGATATATTTAAAGAAAATAAAATAATTTCTTTAAAACTTTACCACAAATTACCCATTTTATTTTCAATAAAACTCTATCACATTAGAGAAGGATATTATTTAAAGAGTTTTTTATAAAACTCTAACACAAATGACCTATTTATCTATTTATTATTTTGAGTTAAAATAAAAGAAAATCAAATTAGACAACAATTACTAATATAAAAAAATTTATTAATTGATATATAAAATTAAATAATTTTTCTAAAATTCTACCACAAATTTCCTTTTATTATAATTTTTTAATAAAAGAAATCTAATTAGACAAATAACATATATTTATCTATTTACTATGAATATATTTACGAAAAATAAAATAATTTCTATAAAACTCTATAACAAATTACCTATTTTATTTTCTTTAAAACTCTATCACATATAACCTGTATTCATATATTTACTATGAGTTTTTTTAATGAAAATAAATCTAATTAGACAAGGATATAGTTAAAGAAAATAAAATAATTTTTAAAAGAGTTTATATAAAACTTTAACACAAAGTACCGATTTATCTATTTATTATTAGTTTTTTAATTAAAGAAAATCAAATTAGATAAGAATTATTAATATAAAAAATATTTATTAATTGATATAAAAAATAAAATAATTTTTCTAAAACTCTAACACAAATTACAGTTTTTTAATAAAAGAAAATCTAATTAGACAAGGATATATATATATTTAAAGAAAATAAATAATTTCTATAAAATTGTAACATAAATTACCTATTTTATTTTTAATAAAACTCTACCACATTAAATAAGGATATATTAAAAGAGTTTCTGTAAAACACTAACACAAATTATCTAAACTCTACCCCAAATTAACTATTTTATTTTCTTTAAAACTCTATCAAATATAACTTGCATTTATCTATTTATTATGAGTTTTTTAATAAAAGGAAATCTAATTAGACAAGGTTATATTTAAAGAAAATAAAATAATTTCTATAAAACTTTACCACAAATGACAAATTATTTTATAAAAATCTACAACAAATTATCTATTTTATTTTCTTTAAAACTCTATCACGTTAGACAATAATATATTTAAAGAAAATATATAATAATATAATAATACATATAAATAAAATATAAAAATGTAAAGAGTTTTAACATTTCAAATTTATTTTTTAATATAAAAAAATTTATTAATTAATTTTAAAATAGAACTCTATTACATATAATTTCTGTATTTATCTATTTATTATGAGTTTTTTAATAAAAGAAAATATAATTAGACAAGGATATATATAAATAAAATAAAATAATTTCTATAAAGTAATATATATATAAATAATGTTATGATATATATAAATAAAATAAAATAATTTCTTTAAAGTAATATATATATAAATAATGTTATTTTAATAACCTATTGCGATGTAAAAAAAAATTTGAGCGATACGCAAGTTCGATCAACTACCTAGCAAGGGCAGAATAAGAGAGTAACGTTACAAAGATAATTAGACAATGATATATATAAATAAAATAAAATAATTTCTATAAAGTAATATATATATAAATAATGTTATTTTGATGACCTATTGCGATGTAAAAAAAAATTTGAGCGATACGCAAGTTCGATCAACTACCTAGCAAGGGCAGAATAAGAGAGTAACGTTACAAAGATATATATATATATATATATAGCTCAAATTTTTTTTACATCGCAATAGGTCATCAAAATAACATTATTTGATGAAAATTAAAGCGCCTGTGGACTAATTTGACTCATTTATTAAAGTAAAAAAAGTCAAGTTAGTCCGTGTGAAAAACTTATGAATGACTTTTACTCGCACATTAATTTTTAAGATTTAAACTTACAACAATCTCCTACTAAAATTGATTAATAATCTCTAAAATAAAGTTCACGTTTGATTTATTTGAATGTATCACTTTTTTAGCATAATTATCTATTTATGTGGTCTTATAAATACTCGAGAAATTGTCAAATCAAATTCAATAAATCAACAGTTTTTAAAATATGGGCAGCCTTGACATTTTCATTTTATGAGACAAACTTGTTAAACTCTAAATTGGTTCATCATCGGTTATGCGCTCATATAGCTGGGAGGTCTATGCCTTGTATCTCAATTTTCTCCAACATGGTAGCATTCTTGATGATACGAGAAGGAAGCCTCATTTCTCTCTCTTTTCCTGCAAAACTCAGACTCATCATATGGAAGTATGTTTTCTCTAGAATTTGGTTTGGCCTGATTGAGATATATAGTATAAAAAACATAATGAGAATACTATATTTAAAATAATAATAATTAGCAGGAAAAAAAAAACCTTTGTCATTACAACATATAATAAAAGAATGCTAATAAAATTATCACGTAACTTTGATTCTATGATTCGACAAATTTATCCGATTTTTTATGATGACTTCTTGTAGATGGACACTAGTTCTAAAGATGAAAGAGAGTAAGATAATGTCTTCAATGTTGTTCATGTCTAATTCAGCATGTAACACGCGCAAATCCGAAAGAGAAAGATACTCATCTCCATATTTAGTAATTAATTAGTACTAATACTTCCCTAATGATCTCAAGCTCTTCGTGGTGACTGCTTCTTGTCGCGAACAATTATAGTTCCATTGTATCACAATTTTCTCCAACATAGTAGCATTCTTGATGAGATGAGAAACAAGCCTCATTTCTCATTGAATATGGAAGCAAACCAGATATTTATCATTGTTTTACATTAAATGATAGTGCTTTAATTCACTTTAAGAAAAATAAAAATTACTGCTCTATTTCATAATTGAATTACATGCAATATTGTTACACGTTGCCTTTTGTCATTCTTATATATAAGAAAAAGAATGTTAATATACAAAAAAAATAAAATTATCATATGGCGTTGGAATATCAACTTGTCCTAATGTTGATTTTTTTTTTTTTTTTTTTAGATGGACACTCAATCTAAAGATGACAAAGAGTAAGATAATGTACATACGCAAATCCCAGAGTGAAAGAGAGTTTTCTCCATAAATAAAAATAAAAATAATTAAGTATTTAATACTCTCAAAATCAAAATTTTGAATCCGTGTGCTTATTTGAACTTTCAAAAATTATATATATATATATAAAAGGGAGAAACGTACGTACGTACCCGGAGAGACCACAATATATTTGAAGATTCATGGGTTGGGGCCTGGGCCTTATGTTGGGGCTGAGTTTGGCTAATGTATTGCCTATGGTTAGGGCTTAATTTTCTGTTGGCCCAATTTTTGTAATATATTTTTTTCTTATCAATAAATTGATTTACTCTTCAAAATAATAATAATAATAATAATAATAAAATACATATATGAATTAATGTATTAGCATTTTTCTTGGATTAATTATGATTTGGCTTGATTTGAACTAAATGATTGGAAGCTTTGCATGCTTGGATGATTCTGAGTGGTATTGTGATTAAAAAATGTGGGGTGATTTATATTTCGGCACAGGTCCATACACTTGTGCATCCTAAATGTTCAATGAAATGCTTACTTGAGTTCTATAATGGAAAGAATGGGGCTCGAGAGTGAAGAAAATTGGTTTGAAAATGGGCAACATGGGATTTTAAAGTATAATACATGCCACTAATTTAATACTGCTATGCATCTTTGGTAAATTACTAACCTACACACACATTTATTTTAGTGCGTTTATTGCCCTCCATTTTTGGGATGATAACATGGTGGGTTGGAGAAGTGCAATACTTGGATATTTTAAATAAAAATAATAATACAATTAATCTTATAACATGGAGTGAAATTATATACGTTTTGAAACAATTATGAAGTTTCGAATACATGGAGAATTCTGCTAATCTATTTTTCTAATAAAACAAAAGAAAAACAAGTAAAATGTGAAATCGAAAACTTTTTTGGGGTCTAATGTCATTTTTTGAAACCCCATTATTTCAAAGCTTAAAATAATAATTATTTTTGGTAAAAATATAAAATAATTAGTGTACATGGAATTGTAGTGGGGGTGGAATTTTTATTCTACTCCCAAAAGCCACGTTTACATCAATTAGTGTACACCAGATCTAGCCCAATAATATATTTTGTGTGTGTGTGTGTGTGTGTGTTTTTCGTGTGTATCTCTTGGCAGAAAGTAGCAAAGTGGAAATTAAGAGAAATGTTCCTTGTGGAAAAAAATTGTAGTTTTAAGTCCTTATCCTTAATTAAGAGGGGAGACTTGAAGATGTGTGCTTATGTGGAATACAAAGAATTGCCGGTCTTTTTACTTCAATTACTATCTCTCCACTTGACTTGACTCAACAAGATTACGTAGGATATATATCATTTTGTTATTCTTCTATATAAACATCACCTCTTGATTATCATATATACTTATATAAGTGCCAAAGAAAGAGAAATTTATATACCATATAATTGAGAATGGGTGGTTCTTCACCAATATTATTCTTGCACTACTTGCTCTTCTTCCTACTCATCATCACTACATCTCATTACTTCATGCTTGTTCACTCTTTCCCTTCTCTCCACCAACAAAACCCACTCTACCATCATAATGACAGCTCTGCTTTGGTACACTTCAATCAAAGCCTTTCTATATGGGAGTTTGCTTCTGGCGATGCTTCAGCTTATCCAAAGGTTGCATCATGGAATACCAGTAACAGTGATTGCTGCTCATGGGATGGTGTCACTTGTGATGATGAAACCGGCCGTGTCATTGGACTTGACCTCAGTAGTAGCTTTCTCTTCTGTTTTATCAATACCAACAATACCCTCTTCCGCCTTGTTCATCTTCGGAGACTCAACCTTGCTGACAATGACTTCAATGAATCTCAAATCCCATCTGCTGTTGGACTTTTTTCGAGGTTAACTTATCTTAATCTCTCATATTCTGTATTTGCTGGTCAAATCCCTTCGGAAATTTCAAATTTAACCAAATTAACTTCTCTTGATCTCTTAAGAAATTCAGTGGAGCTCCGTAAGCCTGGTCTAACAAGCTTGGTTAAGAATGTGACGAATTTAAAAGAACTTTACCTTAATGAGGTGAACATATTTTCTACAATACTTCACAATTTGGCTAATTTTTCATCTTTAACCTCTCTACTTCTCGAAGATTGTCAATTACAAGGTGAATTTCCCGCAGGCATTTTTAAGTTACCAAACCTACAGTTTCTTAGCGTGAAGTACAATCCAGATCTCATCATTTACTTGCCTGAATTCCACACGAAGAGTCCACTCAAGAAATTGAGGCTGGGGATAACAAACTTTTCTGGAGAGATGACAAATTCAATTGGAAATCTCTACTTGTTGAATGAATTGGATATCTCAGGATGCATCTTCTCAGGATCAATGTTGTCTTCAATTGGTAACCTTCCACAACTCCTTTATTTGAGCCTTGCCCGAAGCAACTTTTTTGGAGAACTGCCAAATTCAATTGGACAACTTAAATCCTTAAATCGTTTGGAGATGGCAGGATGCAATTTCTCAGGGCCAATCCCGTCTTGGTTTGGTAATTTTTCACAACTGCAATATTTGGACCTTTCCAGAAGCAATTTTTTTGGAGAACTGCCAAATTCAATCGGACAACTTAAATCCTTGAATCATTTGGAGATGGCATGATGCAATTTCTCAGAGCCAATCCCGTCTTGGTTTGGTAATTTTTCACAACTGCAATATTTGGACCTTTCCAGAAGCAATTTGTTTGGGGAACTACCAAATTCAATGGGATTCCTTGAATCCTTGAATCATTTGGGGTTGGCAGGATGCAATTTTTCAGGGTCAATACCAACTTGGTTTGGTAATTTTACACAACTGCTATATCTGGACCTTTCTTTCAACAATTTTACGGGTCAGATACCTTCTTTCTTTGGTAATTTTACACAGCTCCAATATCTTCTACTTCCTTTTAATATGTTGCATAGCCCAATTCCCGAGTCAATCTCTCAACTAGTGAATCTGCAAGTTATTAATCTTGATGGTAATAACCTAATAGTGGAGCTAGATGTGTTTCTTACTCTGAAAAATCTTACTACTCTTGGGCTCTCAGGTAACCAATTAACATTGCTCCCAAGTAGTTTCACCAATGTTACGCTTCCCAAGTTTAAGTCCCTTAATTTGAACTCATGCAACTTAACTGAGTTCCCAAATTTCTTGAAAACTCAAGACCAGTTGGTGTACTTAAACCTCAGCAACAACCGCATCCAAGGCCCCCTGCCTACATGGATATGGAACATGAGTACACAAACTTTGGATACCCTTGACCTCTCTCATAACTTTATAACTGGCTTTCACCAACCTCCTCCTTTAGTTCTTCCGTGGGATGCACTATACCGTTTAGACTTTAGTTCTAACATGCTGCAAGGATCACTCCTTGTCCCACCATCATCCATCAGCTTTTATATTGTCGCAAACAACAAACTGACTGGGGAGATTCCACTATTGATCTGCAATGCGAGTTCTCTTCGTGTCCTGGATTTATCTTATAACAATCTAAGTGGCATCATTCCCCGATGTTTGGGCAGTTTTGCTGATTCTCTGGAGTTATTGAATCTTCGAAACAATAAATTACATGGCCCCATTCCTCAAACATACAACAATGGAACCGGGCTGAGGATGATCAACTTAATTCAAAACCAATTGCAAGGGCCAGTGCCAAATTCGTTGGTCAATTGTCCACTTCTAGAGAGTCTTGATCTTGGAAACAATAAGATCTATGACGTTTTTCCCTTTTGGCTTGGAACACTTCCAGAATTGAAGGTTCTGATTTTGCGATTCAATAGATTCCATGGTGCAATATGGAACCCTAACTCCAGTTTAGCTTTCTCCAAATTGCACATTCTTGACATCTCTCACAATGGTTTCACTGGTAACTTACCTTGCGATTACTTCCATACCTTAACAGCCATGAAAACTATTGATGTTAATGAATCAACATATATTGGAAGAGTAACCAATTTTGTTAACAATGGCAGTACTTACGCGCTGACACTAACAAACAAAGGTGTGCAAATTGTGTATTTGTATATCCTAAATATTTTCGCTGCCATTGATTTGTCAAGCAACCAATTTGAAGGAGAGATTCCGGAATCTATTGGGATTCTCAAGTGTCTTCACATGCTCAACCTTTCCAACAACAGTCTTATTGGTCAGATTCCATCTTCGTTGAGGAATCTAACAGAGATTGAGTCGTTGGACCTTTCTCAAAACAAGCTCTCAGGAGAGATACCTTAGCCACTAACCCCACTCATGTTCCTTGCATTCTTCAATGTCTCTTTTAATCATCTCAGAGGGCCAATTCCACAAGGGAGGCAATTCGATACATTTCCAAACAATTCCTATGAGGGGAATTTAGGATTGTGTAGAGACCCTTTGTCGAAGAGATGTGAAAACTCGGATGCATTGCAGCCACCACCAGTACCTTCGAAGTTCAAACATGGTGATCATTCATGGCTTGCAATTGATAAAAGTGATTGGATTGTGATATGCATGGGCTATGGAGGTGGGTTAGTAGTTGGGTTGATCATTGGGCACACTTTTGCCGCAAGGTATCATGAATGGTTTGTCAGCACCTTTGGAAGGAACCAAAAGAAACAGAGGACGAAAAAGAGCAGGTGAAAAAGCTAAATTTGATGAGCCCATATTCGTTCATGGCTTTGTAGGCTTTTCCACTGGAAGAGGTACATCAAGGAAATGAAGAACTTCAGCTCCAGCATGGAGTTTCCACCAGCTATCAGGTATGTGTGTTGCGTTGTGTTTCTTTTTACTTGTTTGCATTTGTAGTCTATACCAAACCCTCTAGAGTGGCTTCTTTTAATAAGATACATGTCATTAAAGAAAAACTCTTGTAATAATACTATAGTATAAAATTTGCAGCTGAAAAAAAAAAAATGTTATCTATTGTGCAGTTTTGGACCGCTGTTACAGAATACTTGTTGCAAAAAGGTAGTGTTCTAAATAATTGTTCAAAAGATGCATCACAGCCATGGGTAATGCATGTATGACATTTTGATATAATTCTCAAATATATGGTTGGCCTGTAATTGTTATTAGAAGTTATTTTATTTTATTTTGTTTTTTATTTTTTTGTGTGTAAAGAGCAAATGTATTAAAATCCCAGACTAAAAATAAAGTATATACAATTCAAACTCAAAAAGAAATAGCTTTTTTGAGAAAATAACATGTCACTCAATCAATGGCTGTAGTTAACACTATTTTCTATAATTTTCAAAGTGTAAAGTTAAGGATTTAAGTTTTCATAAGAACATTGATATGCGTGTATAATTATTTGTTTGGAAAAATAAACTAAAACTTACGCCTATGTAAACTTAGTTCTCTTAGAATTATTTTATTCTTTTAGAGCTAGCTAGTTCATTAAAACTAGAACAAAACAAGTTAGGCTTACAGGCATCCCATAGAAGACAAGTGATATTTTTGTGATTATATTGGTTACTATAGTACAGGGTAGATTATCTAGGCATCTCTTGATATTATGAGTGTGACCTTACTGGCAGAAAGAAATTGGAGACGGCATACAAAACACAACTCAGTTTAAGATTAAGAAGACCAAATATCTTGATTATATAGTATTTGGATTCCCTTTATACACGTAGTCTTGTACATATATACACAAGCGCGTACACACATATACATATAATACTTGTATTGGATCGTAGAAGTAGAAGATTTTATTGAAAAGTCTTGCCCACAGAACATTCTCCTAAATATTGTTCATCTGCTTGTGAGACCACTTATAGTCATCTCAAAAACAAAACATTTCTTTACATATAGTACAAACAATGTTTTGGACCACTTCACCCGACGACTGCTTTTGCCTAGTCTTTGCCAATGCCATCACACTACAAGTTTGCTCAACTAAATTTTTGGTTGTAATAATTAAGTGCAAGATTATTTATTAATTGTGTGACCCATATGTTCTGGACCACTTCGCTTGTAAGACCTAATTTTCTTGTTGCTTTTGTCTAGTCTTTGTCGGTGCCATCATGCTACAAGTTTGCTCAACGAAATTTTTGGTTGTAATAATTGATTGTAAACTTATTTATTAATTGTGTGACTAAGACGATTTGGACACATGCTATATTTCTATTTATTTGGTGGCTAAATAAATAAATATGAGACTAATATTATATTAGCTGGTCAACTTATAAATTATTCTTTTCGTAATTAATTATGCAAAGAACATGTGGAAGAGATTATGCAAATAGTAAAGGGTAATTATGGGAGTGAAAATTGTAACAATCAAACACAGTGTGGATTAAGGATTTTTTTGTAATTCCATTTAAAGAGAGGAGTGTGGAGGCCTAAAGATATTTCTACAGCTAGAAGCCTCCAATATTAGCTCCCATAATAGTACGCAATTCATTTTAATAGCAATACAATTATTCCTCTAGAGATGTCTCAAACAAATAATATATCTAAAAAATTATCCTTTTAAAATTTTAAAATCTCTCTTCAAATTTGAAGAGAAGAAAAAAAAAAAAAAAAAAATCATGCATTAATTGCACATTCTTTTAAAATTTTATAATAGAGCTAGTATGGGATTGGATGGCAATTTATATCCAAATTTATTAAATAGCCCCAGCTCGTCCACTATAATTAAATTATTTGGGCATCATCAGTAATGACCAAAAAAAGAAAAAAATGTGTGCCCATATAATTCAAGATAACTCTCTCTCTCTCTCTCACTCTTCAACTTTCTACATATATAAATTATAAAAAAAAGATAACACACGACAATGATACGGGCTTGTGCAGATCTGCCCAAACTCCACCTCAAGTCCTGGCCACAAATAGGATAATTTCTTAGGCCATCTAGCACTGTGTCCGCCCACATATAAGCTGTTCATGTTGCAGAAAATCCACATTTTGTACATTCACTTTTTCTTTTTTCCTTTAAATTTCTTTTTTGGTCTTGGAGGAAAGACTACTCATGTTGGTGGTTTTTTTTTTTTTTTTTTTTTTTTTTTGGGTTAAAGTGAAACTGAATCATTAAGAATTTTGACAAAAGCAAAAAATTAGTGTGAAAAAAATGTTAGAAAAATCAAATTTCTTGAAAGAAAAGTAAAAGAAAATGGAAACAATGTACACTTACTGCTCCATGACATGCCAGTTATTATCATCAATTTGAGATGATGTAGAGAGAATAACTACCCTTTTTTGCCATAGAACAAGAGGATAAAGAACATACATAAACTCTTTTTTCTATATATATATATATATATATATATATATATATATAATTATTATTGTTGATTAAGTTGTATAGTGAATTTTTTCAAAATGAAAAAGGAAAAAAAAAAAAAGAAAAAGAAAAATTGTAAAGAACAATTTTTTTATTTTTATTTTTATTTTTTAGTATTCAACAATCAAAATAACTACTTCCTCGCCGCAAAAAAAAAAAAAAAAAAAAAAAAAAAAAAAAAAAAAAAAAAAAAAAAAAAACGATACAGAATTAAGTAAAGAATCATTTTTTAAATTCTGCACATTTTTTTTTTTTTTTTCCATTAAGTCAGTTTTTATAACTATTTATTGAATTAAGTTAATCTTTATCTTTTTTAATTTCATATGGTAGTCAAAGAAACCTTGTTTGAGGATTTAAAAAAAAAAAATTTGAAACTTTGTTTGTCATTTTAAATTTGATGAAAGTCAATATTAGAAGTTTGTCATCACAAAAGATCCCGTTTGCAAAAGTAAAAAAAATAAATAATAAAAACTGAAACGGGTTGCCCGTTTTGACTCGCCCATTTAAGATCTTACCCATCTATGATCCGTCATTGACGGGTTGGGAATGAGTTACTGACCCATTCAATACTCGCCCAAACCCACCCAATTGCCACTCCCATATGAGACTGATGAGGAACCGTTAATATTTAAGCTGAAAAAAAAATAATAATAATATATCCAAGATATATATATATATATATATATATATATATATATATAGAAAAAAAATTTAATAATATATCCAATATATATATATATATATCGCTGTAAATTCCAAAATTAACCTTTTTTAAGTACCAAAATTGACCTTTGCTGCAGTGAAGAGATTAATTTAAACAAGGGTAATAACGTCACAAGGCTACGTGGCGGACCTAAAAAAAAGTCCCAGTACTCGAGCATGGAGAAGCAAAATATTATTCCATAGATTCTATATAGCTTTCAACTATTTTGCAAATTTTTGCAAATAGAATGATCCTTATTGCGATTAAGAAAGAACTAAATAAATACGTTTGAAAGTAATCAAATCTAAAACATGTTTTCTTATGTAGTATGGGAGATAGAGAAAATAGTTAACAAGAATACAGACCATTTCTTTTTCTTTGTTTTTTTTTTTTTTTTTGGCTAAATTGGAGTAACCTTACTTAGGAAGTATCAATGTCAAAATATCAATAAGCATGAATAATTTTAAACCATTACAAAGATGAGGAAATAGCAAGCAAGAGAACAGACCATTCCTGGCTAAATGAGAATTACCTCAACATGCTCAGATAACTTAAAACCATTAAAAAAACAAAACAAATAATTCACACACTTGTAGTGCATTTCACAATGTCATTACTGCAAAATATACAAATAAACCTATGACACTTAAACTTATAATTTCTTTGCAAAGTCCTCACGTCTGTGTCATTCAAGAAAAGCATAGAAATAAATGCCCTATGAAACACACAACTTATCGATTCTTTGTGAAGTCTCCATCATTCGAGCAAAAAATAGCTATAAACCTTGTGTGTCCTTGCCAAGTATCTCTAATCATTTTATCTGTTTGAACATAAGAGAAAAATAACAAATTTGCTTCATCAAATATATATCTATATCTTATATACATTTTAAAATAATTTCTTTAATTTACAAAAATATTATACGCAACGTTTTTTACATACTGTTTATTTTTTTCTTTCTTTCTTCTTTTTTTCCAAAGAGTTCTTGTTTTAAACAATTTTTAAATTTTAATTTAAATCAATCTTACACTCTAGATTCTGGATTTTTTTTATTAAAAAATCAATTTTAATTATATACCAAACCTTGAAAAAAATGATAACGTCCTGTAACGTAATTTCTTAAGATGCCTTTATACTCTTATATTCAAAAGCGACGTCTATTGTGAAAAGTTGTTTGCATCTTATATATACCTACGAGTCATATGATCTCGGAAAATAAAATAAAAAACTCTTTCATATTATCTTCTTCTTGCAAAAGGCCAACATCGTAAATGCATTATACTTCTTATATATATATATATATATATATATATATATATATATATATATATATATATATAATATTTTAGGTTACAATTCTTCTCTCCTCTAAAAACTTTTTATGTCTCCCTCTATTTTTTATATTTACTTCTATATATATCACATTATTATTAAAATATTTTAGAGTTCCTTTTACATATAACTTTTATTCAATATATTGTAATTATTACATGAAAGAGTTTCTTTTAAAACTATCTCTATCTTTCTATGTATATACATTTTCATCCAAGTCATTGTTTCGGGTGTTCAATAAAGATAAAGCAATTAAGACTTTCATGAACATGACATATACGAGTCATTTGATTTTTTGTGTATTATTTTCTACTGATGGATGTATAATTTAAATATCCATAATTAAGGGAAGATTACTAAATTAACGCACTATTGAGATAGGCTCTGCAAATTACGATAAGGATTACAGATTGAGATAGGCTTTACAGATTACGATAAGAATTAAAGATTGTGATAAGGATCAAAGATTACGATGAGGATTAAGTCTATAGATTATAATAAGGTAATTCTACGTGACATCTTAACCTAAGCCCTATAAAAAAGGCGGGGGAATCAACGTTTTGAGGTACGCAATAAACCCTAACTCAATTTCTCCAGGGAGATTATCATTCACATTGACTTGTTCATCGGAGCCTACTCCACCGGTAACACATCGGTGTTCGTAGGATCATTTTTTCTTTTCTTTATTTAGGAAGTCAGATCAGATCCAGGTTGCGCAGAATCCATCATCAAGAATTGGTGCCGTCTGTGGGAACGATTTTAGTTCTCTAAATAAAGTATGGTTCGATTGCGATCTAGTCTGGTTGCTGGCGAATACGAAGCGTTGCAAACTTCTGATCAAGGGGACTCGACGAGGCAACCCCCCGCCGTCCCAAACGATCAGGAACGCGTCACAGCGTTGGAACAACAGGTTTAAACCCTAAATAAGGGAATGAACCAATTAGTCCAGAAAAATTCAATGATTCTACAACGCTTAGCCGCCCTTAATGAGGTGGAGAATAATGAAGTACCCAAGAATGACTCCCATAGGATTGACAACGACGCTGAGCTTAGTCAAATAGGGGGTCAATAGAGAAGCTATCACCATCGGTCTCTTGAACGGAATAATACCAGGCTCCGTGCAAGTACCTCTGGTTGTGTTGGTGACAAGACTAAAGACGTCACTTATTTCAATCTGTAGATGTAAGATCTGAGAACTAGGGTCAAAGACGTCATGCAAGCAATGAAAGGGAAGGGCCAGGCCACAGTGAACGATCTGGTACAGAAGACCAACTTAGCATTTAGCCTCGCTGTTATGTTATGAGTTGTCCTCTACCTAGCAAATTTAATATGCCAACTCTTGAGAGCTTCGATGGGATGCGGGACCCTCTCGATCATTTGGAGACCTACAACCAACTCTTGAGAGCTTCGATGGGACGCGGGACCCTCTCGATCATTTGGAGACCTACAAATCTCTTATGTATTTGCAAGTCGTACCGGATAAGATTATGTGCAGGGCTTTCCCTACCACACTAAAGGGTTGGGCTCGTCCTTGGTTCAATAAATTAAAGCTAGGCTCCATTGAAATCTTTAATGAGTTGAGCAAACAATTCATTGGACACTTCACCGCTGCGCAGAGGCATAGGAGACAGCAACACACTTATTGAATGTGAAACAGCAGAAGGGAAAGCCTCTCCGTGGTTACATAAGTCGTTTTAATGCTGATATGCTGCAGGTAGAAGAGGTGGACGACAATGTTGCCCTCACAGCCTTTATGGGGAGGACTACAGACTTCTAAGTTCCTATTTTCCTTATCAAAAGAAGCCCCTACAAGCATGACAGAGTTGATGGTTAGAGCATGGAAGCACATGAACGCTGAGGATGCTATGAATGCACGAAAAAACAAAGATGGTGAAAATAAGAGGTCGGAGAAGAAGAGGCCAGCACCTAACACTAGGGAGGAAAAGGAATCGAAGTACAAAAAATTCTCAAACAACCAGGCTGACAGATCGTCTCGCCGCCCAGTGAGCCCAGGCAGGTATAATAACTATACCCCTAAATACATATGTAGATCAAGTCTTTCTGCAGATTCAAGATGACGCATCATTGAAATGGCCGCCAAAGCTAAAAGCTGATCCAACAAAGAGGTCTCTAGGTAAATACTGTAGGTTTCACCGGGACCATGGACATAACACAGAAGATTGTTTCAACCTCAAAAACCAGATCGAGAACCTTGTTCGTAAAGGTCATTTACGCAAATTCACAATTAAAAATGGAAAAGGAGGCTCCAACCCAGCCCGGGAGGGCCGAGATGATCTCCCTTCTCAACACCAACCAATGGGTGAGATCAAAGTTATATCGAGTGGCTTCGCTGGTGGTGGTGAGACTAGTTCGGCTCGGAGGGCTCATGCTTGGAGTATTTGGAGTTTTTCAGAGGTGAATGAAGTTGGAATGACAAGTCCTGCAACAAAATTACCTCGAGTTGATAAGCCAATCATAACCTTTTCTGAAGAAGATGACAAGGGAATTCACCAGCCCCATGATGACCCCCTGGGCATACGAGAAATTGAAAATTGGCCGAGAGAAGCTCCGACCCATGAAATCACCACTGGTGGGATTTTCAGGCGATAAAGCACATCCACTGGGGGCAGTTACCCTTCCAGTTACTGCAGGAGCCAATCCAAAGCAGGTCACTATAATGGTGGACTTTGTAGTGGTGGACTGCCCATCATCATACAATATTATCCTGGGGAGGACAACATTGAATGCCATAAAAGTAATCACGTCCACTTACCATCTCCTGATGCGCTTCCCAATTGAATATGGTATGGGAGAGCTAAGAGGGGACCAAACAATGGCTCGCGAATGTTATGTCGCCTCTCTTAGAAAAACAAAATCGTAAGAGGCATTTACGATTGAAGGGCTGGAAGGGAAAGATAGACCAGACTTTCATAGAGTGGAACCTATAGAGGAGCTAGAAGAGGTCATCCTTGGTGACGGTGAGCCCGAGAAAAAAGTGAGTATAGGGTCTTTACTTCCCCCAGGTATCAAAGATAAACTTACTCAATTCCTCAGGAAGAATCGAGACGTATTTACATGGGTCCATGAAGACATGCCGGGTATAGACCCCACTATCATGGAGCACCGCTTAAATGTAAATCCTGACTTTAAACCTGTCAGACAAAAAAGGAGGACTTTCGTTCCAGAAAGGAATCAGGCTATATCAGAAGAGGTGGAAAAGCTCTTAAAAGTCGACTTTATTCAAGAGGTGTACTACCCCGACTGGCTGAAAAATGTGGTTTTAGTGAAGAAGGCAAATGGAAAGTGGAGGCTATGTGTGGATTTCACAGACCTTAACAAAGCTTGCCCGAATGACAGCTTTCCTCTCCCAAGAATCGATATGCTCGTTGAGGGAACGGCTAGACACGAACTATTAAGTTTCATGGATGCATATTCTGGATACAACCAGATATCTATGTACACCTCAGATAGAGAACAAATGGCATTCATCACTGATAGAGGTTTGTACTGTTACAAAGTAATGCCGTTTGGGCTCAAGAACGCTGGTGCAACATACCAAAGGCTAGTGAATGCAATGTTTAAGCATCAAATTGGTAGAAACATGGAGGTATATGTTAATGACATGTTGGTGAAAAGCTTAAAAGCTGAAGACCATTTGACTGACCTGCAGGAGACCTTCGAGGTACTTAGGAGGCATAAGATGAAACTCAACCCCAACAAGTGTGCCTTGGGGTTTCCTCAGGAAAGTTCTTGGGATATATGGTAAGCAGAAGAAGAATTGAGGCCAATCCAGAGAAGATCCGAGCAGTCATTGACATGAGATCGACAAGATCAACCAAGGATCTACAATGACTAACAGGGAAGATTGCTGCCTTGAGTAGGCTAATCTCTCGGTCAACTGACAGGTGTCTACCTTTCTTTCGTGTGCTAAGGAATGCGTTTGAATGGACCCCAGAGTGTGAGCAGGCGTTCAAAGAACTAAAGCAATACCTTAGTTCTCCCCTACTACTGTCTCGAACCATACCGGGAGAGGAACTATACATATACCTTACAGTCTCCACAACAACTGTCAGTTCAGCTCTGATACGAGAAAAAGAAGGGGTCCAAAGGCCAGTATACTTCGTGAGCAGAGTACTTAGGGGTGCGGAGGAAAGATATCCAAGGATGGAGCAGTTGGCCTTTGCTTTAATTGTGTCCGCCAGGAAACTGAGACCATACTTTCAAGCGCATACGATAGTGGTCCTAACAGATTAACCCTTTCGACAGGTCCTACACAAGCCAGAAAGCTCTGGTCGACTGATGAAGTGGTCAGTAGAGTTAGAAGAGTTTGATATTCAGTATAAGCCAAGAACAACAGTAAAGGCTCAGGTGTTAGCTGATTTCTTAGCTGAGTTTACCCCTCCAGAAGAGGAGAAACAACCCCAATTTTCGACAGAACCAGGTTTAAGTGAGCAGATGGGCCCAGAAGTAGTTTGGGACTTGTTCGTGGATGGGTCATCTAATGTTCAGGTTAGCGGAGCCGGGCTTGTTCTTGTCTCCCCAGAGGGAGAAAGTATACAGTACGCACTTCGGTTTGTTTTCAACGTAACCAACAACAAAGTAGAGTATGAAGCCTTGATAGCAGGATTAAAAGTGGCAAATGCCCTAGGGGTTGAGCAATTACACCGACTCTGAGTTGGTCGCTGGACAAATTCAAGCGGAATATGAGGCACGAGACGAGAAGATGAAGAGTTACCTACAAAAGGTGAAAGAATTAAAGAATCACTTCCAAAGATTCTCAATTCATCAAATACCACGAGAAGATAATGGGAAAGCAGACACTTTAGCCCAGCTAGCTACTGCATTGAACCTGAGATCAATAAGAATATACCACTGGAATATTTGTACGAACCATCTATATCTCAGGAGAGACAAATTAAAGTGCAACAAGCGATATTGAGTGTGGAATGGGCAGATCCTGTCATCAGATATATCAAGGATGGGGTGCTACCAACAGACCGAGCAGAAGCTCGAAAGGTCAAGATGCGGGCAGCTAGGTATACGCTTATCAAAGGGGTGCTCAACAAGAGAAGCTTCTCCATGCCGTATTTACGATGCGTTTCTAGCGAGGAAGCTGACTACATTTTAAGGGAGATCCACCTAGGAGTTTGTGAAAACCATGCTGGGGGTAGGTCACTTGCTAACAAGGCCATCCGACTAGGATACTATTGGCCCACCATGCAGAAAGATGCACTTGACTTCGTTCAAAAGTGCGACAAGTGTCAACGATTTGCCAACATCCCAAGACAACCGTCAGAGGAGATGACTCCTATATCAAGACCATACCTCTTTCCCCCTTAAAAGAATAAAGGGTCAGCTTCATCTTCTTCCCTCGATAAAAAGATAGGGGGTTAACTGCTTCCTTTGTTAAAGGGTAAGCTGAGTGAAGCTCATATTAATCTACTTCCCCTGTTAAAGGGTGACCTTGGTGAAGCTCGTATTAATCTACTTCCCTTGTTAAAGGGTGAGATAAGTGAAGCTCATAGTAATCTACTTCCCTCGTAAAAAGATGAGGAGTTAACTACTTTCCTTGTTAAAGGGTGAGCTGAGTGAAGCTCATAGTAATCTACTTCCCTTGTTAAAGGGTGACCTGGGTGAAGCTCGTATTAATCTACTTCCCCTGTTAAAGGGTGACCTGGGTGAAGCTCGTATTAATCTACTTCCCTTGTTAAAGGGTGAGATGAGTGAAGCTCATAGTAATTTACTTCCCTCGTTAAAAGGTGAGCTGGGTGAAGCTCATAGTAATCTACTTCCCCTGTTAAGGGGTGAGCTGAGTGAAGCTCGTATTCATCTACTTACCTTATTACAAGTTACGTGAAACTCGTCTTAATCTACTTTCCTTATTAAAGGGACGAGCCGACTAAAGATGTCAATAAAATCAAGTATAAAATAACGGTAGCATGCCAGTAGGGCAGCTTGCCAAATAATGGGAGCATGCCAGCAGGGCAGCTTGCCAAATAAAGGCAGCATGCCAGCAGACTTGTTTGGGGTGCATATCTCTCTGCTCGGGAATCAGTTTTCGACGTCATTTCTTCCATTGTTCATCTTTTCTCATTTTGGTTCTTTTTCGTTCAAATTCCGTTTGAGCGCGTCTACTCAAATTCCACTTTTTCGGACCTGGCGGGGCCCTTTTGGGACACTTTTTGAGTTTTTCTATAAATAAGAGATGCAATAAGAAAAAATCAGATATTTTCTCTCTCTTTCCTCTCTCTTGGCCTGATTCCATGGTAGCCATGGCTGCCACCTTCTCTCTCTTGTTTTGAGCTTCCTCCCTTTAGTAAAATACCATAGTGCCGTAGTGTTTTATGTTCGCCTTGATGAGGCCTTCGATTCCAACCAATTGGAATGTTGTTTTGGATAATTTTTGAGTTCGGGTTTGAGGTCAAGTTTAGACTTTTGTATGTCCTCTTTGGAGTTTAATGTTCACAATGTTGTCCTCGACAAAACCTAGAAGTTTCGTCGGATTCGGAGCCGTTTTATTTTGGTGGGGATTTGAGATTTCAGCTCAAATGGAGGTAGGGGATGTTATAGTTTATATTATTGTTGTCTTGCATGCTAATGATGCTTATACAACTTGTATGCATGCTTTGGGTTAAGTTCTAGAATTTAATTTAATTATTTTCTATGTTTACGATTTAATTCTTGTAATGATATATAACTTAAAATTAAATTGTGGCATGCTAGAAAATTTGGCTTTGACATGTTTGTTAACATATATTAAATTGGGATTATTTGAATAAAAATTGCATTTTTTATTTAATAATTTCCTTTTGTGAAAGTTTAATTCTCATGGACGTACCTTGAATGAAATTAACTTGTGATATACTTTTAAATTGAGTCTTGGCATGTTCCTTAACATACTTTAATTTGAGAGCATTTGGACAAGTTTGAAAATCTAGAGATTTTAATTAAAAGAATTAATTAAAATCTCTTTAAAGGTTCTATTAGCTTAATTAAGTTTTTAACTTGATATTTGGGATGACTAGGAGTTGTATACTAACATATATTAGTTTGGGACCAGTTAGAGTTGTTTTAGAATTTAGAGATTTAATTTTCACAATTTAATGAAATTCTATCTTGTTGTTCCATTGGCTTAATTGAGATTTTAAATGAATATATGTAATGTCCATACTATGTCTTTTATCATATATTAATTTGAGGTCATTTGAAAATGATTTGAAATCTAAAGAATTTAATTATTTTTGTTTAATTAAATTCTATCTCATTTTTGCATGGATTTAATTATGTTGTAGATGTTGTTTCCATGTTTAGATCGTGGATTTGGACTTGTTGTACATTCACGTGGTTATGTTTTAAACATTGAGTAACATTGTTGTTAAATTTATATTCATGAGAACATGTTTCCAATATTAAATATATTATTGTCTTGTGTGGTGAATTGCACACTTCGTATTTAACATTATATATGTCATTTTAGAATTGAAGCTCTAAGGCATGAATTGTGTGGTTTTAACCTACTTGTGCATGGAAGGTGGTTTCGTGCATTATTACTTATGTATAAGTTGTGAACTTATTTATTGATTTTGGAGTCACTTGGGACATTGTTACTA